CATTCACGACAACAAAACAGAGGATTAACGACCGTTTAGAATATCGTCAATAAAAACAAAGAATTCACCATGGTCTAAGTAGACCGTCACACATTTCTTTCCAAATTTGGGTTTTTATCGACGGTTTTGAAAACTGTCTTTAAAAAACTCACAAATTCGCAATGGTTTTCTAAAACCCAAGAATTTGAGTGATTTTCACAACGGTTTGATAAACCTTCACTAAAAACCATGAATTAGTGATGGTCTAGGCAAATTGTTGTTAATTCGACCCAAATAAATGGGTTTTTAGTAACATTTTATAAACCATCACTAAAAAACTCATTTTGAGTGGAATTAACGATAATATGAGCAAGTCGTTGTTAAAAACATCTTTATGGAGGGAAAAATTAATTTTTTTTTCAAAAAAGAAAATTTAGAGACTATTTCATAACAGAGCACAAACCGTCGCTAAATATGAAATTCCTAAATTCAATTATACGACTTTTTTCCCATTTTTTCTTCCTATCTTCTCTCTTCTTCTCTTTGGCCAACGCCACCATTCCTAAAAAATCTCCATAGATATCGTGAGCTCCTCCAAACTCCCATTCTCTCTTTTTTCTTCTTCTTCCCCTTCATCCCTTCCCTTTTCCTCCTCCATTTTCTTCTTTTTTCTCTCCTTTTCTTGTCCTCCTCCCTTTACTCCTCTTCCATTTGTGGGCTTCCCAACTCTCCTAAGGTGAGTTCTTGGTTTTTTTGTTTATTAAATGTGTATATATTGTTGTTTATATATATGTACTTAATTAGTTTTTTTGTTGATTGTTAGTTAGATTAATTTATTTTCTGGTTAGGGATAATTTATTAGTTGTTAAATAATTATATTAGGTGTTAATTTAATTTATTTAGGTGTAAAATAATTTTATCATGCGTTAACTAAGGTGATTAGGTGTTAAAATATTTCATTAGGTGTTAGGATAATATAATTAGGTGTTAATTAAATTAATTAATTGTTAAAATTTTTTAATTAGGTGTTAAGTTAATTTATTTAGGTGTAAAATAATTTTATTAGGTGTTAAATAAGTTAATTAGGTGTTAAAATATTTCATTTTAGTCACTTATTTAAAAAAAATTTAGTCACTTATTCATTCATTTTATTAGGTGTTAAATAAGTTTGTTAAATAAATTAATCACTTATTTTTACTATAAATAAATTTTTAATTCAACCAATTAAACATAATTAACCTAATTAATTAAATATAACTTGATTAATTCTAATTCCAACCAAATCAAATTTAAAATAACAGTAAATTAACAAATTTTAATATAAATAAAGTTTTAATTAAACTAATTAAACATAATTAAATGAATTAATTAAATAAATATAAATTAAATTAACTTAATTAATTCTAATTCTAACAAAATTAAATTTAAAATAACAATAAATTAACATGTTTTAATATAAATAAAGTTTTAATTAAATAAAATTAACCTAATTAATTAAATATAAATCAAATTAACTTAATTAATTCTAATTCTAACCAAATTTAATTTAAAATAATAATTAATTAACAATTATAATATAAATAACATTATAATTCAACTAATTAAACAAAATTAACCTAATTAATTAATTAAATATAAATCAAATTAACTTAATTAATTCTAATTCTAATTCTAACCAAATTAAATTTAAAATAAAAATAAAATTAATGTAATTTAGAAAAATTAAACAATTAATTATAATTAATTAACAAATTTATTTTAATTTAATCAATTAAACATAATTAACCTAATTAATTAACAAAAAATAAATAAAATTAACTTAATTAATTTAAATCATTTTTGATTAAATTTAAATTACAATTAATTAATAAATTAACTGAATACTTAAAAAAATTTAATAAATTAATCAATAAATCAATAAATTAACCTAATAATTACCAAAAATTTGCAATTTAATAAATAAATCAATAAAATAAAAATTAAATATATACGAGTTATAAATCAAATAATTAAACTTAAAATTAACCTAATTACAACAAATTAATAACTTTAATTAAGAAAATAAAAGAGAAAAGATTTACCTAATCGGATGGAATTATACCAAGTGGAAGAAAGGAAAAACTTGAGTTTTTTTTTTTGGGAGAAAAGACATTTGAGTGTGTGTGGATTGATTGAGAGTGGAAAGTAGAGTTTGGTGGTGGTTTGAAAGGGGTAAGTCCGACAACTAATGGTTGGAGAAGGAGAGGGAGAAGAAAATGGAGGAGGAGAAAAAAGAATGAGGTTTAATTAAGGATTGGAAAATAACGACTAATGCGATACCCTCGCTAATCCATGACTATTTAGCGAAGAAAATAATTCATCTCAAAATGGGCGACCAATTTCTTACAACTCGGTCGCTCTTTTTTTCACATATAGCGACGGATTTTTTGTTGCTAATCCGTCACAAATTTGGTGCTTTTGACTTTTAAAAAGTCCGTCCAATTTTACCTAATTTTCACCTTTAGTGATAGATTTTCTTGTCGCTAAATTGTAAGGAATTTGTCTTTTAGCAATGGATATTCCGTTACTATATCGAGACATTGAAATTAGTGACAATTTGCTATTCTATCGTTATTTCTCGTAACAATGCAAATCGATCCTAAAGCTGTTTCTAAAGCTCCCGAGAAGATTTTACCATCAAATTTAACAACGGATTAGTGTTCGTCGCTCTTTCATCGCTATTCTATTTTTGTTTTCAACAAGTACTATTTTTTCGCTATTTGCTTGCTATTTAGCAACAAATAAACTTTCAGCACTAATTTTATCTCTATCCGCATTATTATTATTATTATTATTTTGTAGTGGTCCTTCTAGTTTTAAAAAACAAATTAATTAGTCTTTCTTATTTTAAAAACTATTATTTAGTCTTTTAATCATATTGACCATAATTAATTTAATATTTTTTATTCCACAATATCTCTTATTTTCTCATCAATCTTTCTATATTTTTTTCTTTTTCTATTTCTTAAAATATAAATCAAAATAAATTTAAAATGAGTAGAAAAGAAGAAATTACAAGTAGATGTTAAAAAATAAAAACTAAATAATTAGATTTTAAAACAAGAGAGACTAATTAATTCGTTTCTCAAAACAAGAGGTCTAATTTCAATTTACTCCACTCGCGGTCGTTGCCTATAATTTAAAACGCTAATTGTTTTCTCAATAACAACGTCGTTTTACTATAAACTTCTTCTCTTTTGCTTGTTGTGTGGTCAGACTCAACACAACATAGGAAGAATCTAGAAAAGGGACCTAACAATAGGAATGGCAATGGGGTGGCGTGGGGGTAGGGATGGCCATCTCCGTCCTCATCTCGCTCTTGAAAATTTTGCTCCATTCCCATCCCGTGTCTTGTTCGGGACAAAATTTGTCATACGATGGAACGAGGATCCCCTCGAGGCATTGACGGGGCAAACGGGGTAAAAAAATTAATAATTTTTTTTCGTCTCATTTTATCACATTCTATTACCAAATTTCAAGCTATAGCGAAAAAAGATAATTCATATAGAAAATAAATCGTAAAAGTTACTAATCACATATTTTATATAAGATATAATTATAATTTTAAAGAGAAAAAAATCATAAAATGAGGTAAACAGGACAAACAGGGCGAGGCGGGCAAATATCATCCCTGTCATAAGGCACCCCACCCCGCCCTGATCCCCGATCAACGTGGGGAATCCCTACGTTGATCAGGGCGAAATGGGGCGGGAGGGCTGGGGCTCCATCGGGTCGGAGCAAACTACCATCGGTACCCAGCAGATAGTCTCTGTGAATAATGATGGGCCCAACTAGTACCCAGCTTGCCTGCCTTGCAGAAAGGGTCAGCTAAAAACCCAAAGGGAAATCTTGAGCAACACGAACCAAACCTGAGCCCACTGCTTTGCTAATTACTAAAACCCTCTCTCCCTTTTGTACTCAGATCTAAATAAACCCTTCAATTTTAATTGGGAGAAGGAAAGATGGGGATCATTCGGAGCGGCTTCACCTTCATCGTAGGAACGATGTTTGGCGTCTACGTTGCTCAAAACTACAACGTTCCAAACGTAAGGAAGATTGCCAATACTGGCATCTTAATCGCCAAGCACATCGAGGAAAATTATAGGAAGCCCAAGAAGAGGGACGGCGATGAGTGATATTTATTACTGACTCGCTGCTTTTGGATTTCAGGTTTTACATTACTTTTTTTGTTGGGAGATTTTATTTAGTGTTTTTAGGGAGTTTTGAGGGCGATGCATTGTGGGCTGAGCTGATAAGTTTTTTGTAATCGGAACAGGCTTCTTTAGTGAATATTTTGAACTGATAGAAAATTTTGCTGTTCTTTTTCATCCTTCACCTGTTCCTTACTGTTTGGGTTGGTTGGCAGTTGATATTGGCTGAGTGTTTTTCACAATAGTAAATACAAAATGTGGCTCACATTGTAATTACTGAATGTTTAGTTGTAAATTAATTATCTGCGATGATTAATGAGGATGCATAATAAACTGTGAAATTGAATTGGTAGGAGGTTAGAACGCCATTTGTTCAATAACATTTTCAGTAGTGATGCTTCTCATTTTAATGAGTAAACAGCTTCAGTTTTGAAATTATTCTAAAAACGATAAATAAGATCAATTTGGTTGTATAAGTTCGTGCTTTATATTCTAGTTTATAATGATTGCATTTTATGCTGTTATTAAGTAAAAGATATTTTTCATCAATCATCTTGTCAGCATCTCCAGAACACTACAGTATGGATGAACATAGACACACACACATGTATCTTTCCAGTGTTTGTGAATTTTCTTTGTTGCTGCAATAGATATGTTTAATTAATTTCTGGGAGACATTTCTCCATTCGTTTCATGAAGAACTATTCCTTTTAGCTCAGGCCTACTTCCTTCATCATCACTAACAGTGGAGAGATATCTTTCATCTATTAGTTTTCTGAAACTTGGAGAAATATGCTGCAATATATGATAAAACCTGTGGCCTGTATAAGTCTATTTAGCATTTCTATCCACAGAGTTTTCAGGCCTGGTATCACACCACTGGGCACTCCTGAATACATCTTTCTCTGCTGCCAACTCACATGTTTCAACAAATTGTTTCATGATTTTGTAATATCTTGATGTTTGGTCTTGATAAGCAGTGGAGAGGTCCTTAGCTCGACTAGGGCTTCCTTCTAGCACCAGAGGTTTTGATACTCTTTCATTCTCACGAGTCACAACTTCCATTCCTGAGTCATGTGCTGCTGCAGCCATCTCTTTGTTAGTGTATTTACAGACAATGCCACCTAGACTTGACTCTGCGAAGTGGTCTCGTCCAAGCTCTTTGACTTACCTTCCAAAGCTAATCCACAAGGTTCTTTCTGTAGTCTGCCTAGTGCCTTAGTCATGTTCAATTTTGGGGTGCATTTTAACCCTTTACAGCTAGCTATAGCTCCTTTTCAATTTTGTACAATGGAGCTCATTGGTGCAGTTATATAATAATGGCTTATTAAATTCTCATGAAGATTACCTCGTTACATGGATAGCATGAGTTACTTTTTGTGCATACATTTCCTGGTTTGTTCAATTACAATTGAAGAGCAAAAGGAGCTCTTGAAATCTGAATTCTGATTGAAACAAATTTTACCTGTTTATTTCCTTTTTTATTATTGAGTTATACCACGTGCGTGGTGCTAAGTTTTAAATAGCCTTGTAGAACATAGGCCTCTTCATGTGGTAGTTGAAGCTCAACAATTTGACACGTTATTGTACATATGCTTATAATTGCAGTTTCAGATTCTTTATACTGTGTTAGAACTGAAAAGCAATGCCAGGTGTTTCCTCAAATTCGCGAAATTAAAAAATTAAGTTTCTATTTTTAGATTAACTATTTGTATTACATTTGATATTAGCTGCTTGAAATAATATATAACATCACACAAGAATCATAAAGCTTATTACTTTCAAGGATTACACAGCATGTTCACAAGCTACTTCTACTTTCCAACTCCAGGCTAGCAACTTTTAATCAATGTTTAGGTAAGAGTCGCTTGAAGTACCTAAACATGTGTTGTTCTTCACTGGAGACGGAATCAAGGCAAAGGGTTCTTCACATTGTTCAATGAATTCCACTTATCAATATATGCCATTTGATCTGAACTCAAACTGGACATCGGTCGCCGATCTTGAAGTTTCAGGAACTTTTCTATTATTTCCAAAGAGGAAAACTGCATTCCGTACACCGTAGTCACTCTCAACACTCACCCTGCTCAAACACTGTAATATGGCATGTTGCTAGTTAGTGAGGCAAGCCCCTAGTATATCAGAGATCATGACAGATAGTGCTTCAAATGATATTTCACCCATCAGATTATTTCTGCTTTCATAATTCTGCAGAATAGTTTGACTTATTCTACACATGAATTGGCAGCTAACACCTTGATGGGCCAAGTTTGAAGGGCTTTCAATCCGACATTGGTTCACAGGTATCTTCTTATACTCCTCAAGCCTGTTCTTTGCAGCATCAGCAAGTCCCTCGAGCACTTCTTTGTGCTTTCTGCTTGTAGTGACAGTTTTTGAAGATCCATGTCTAGCCACTTCTGGTAGAGATCGACTCCCAACCACACAACATTTGCCACTTTCCTGATGTAAATTGATTCTTTTTCTCATCCAGGTTATCTTCTATGAGTTTTAACATACACGAGGCCTTCATGTATACTGCAAATCAGCTGCTTGATTAAACTATTACTGAAATTTGGAAGTGCAACTGCAATGGCTCTCAGAGTCATTACAGGAAGACTCCAACAATTAGGAGGTTCATCACAATCTAGAGAGAGAACTAGGTTATTGTCAAACTCATTCACTCCCTTAAATCCTTCTGCAATGGCTTATTTTTACAATGTCTTTTTTTCCCCTCTGCAGCCAATGATCAGTGGCATCAAAGTTGTTCGTCATCATCAGATCAACTAGTTCACCTTCACCTTCAAGACGCAAAACGAAATGGCTGAGGTCCAGTTTGGAACTGGATTGTGACTCTGATCCTGAGTCACTTGAAATGTGATCACTGGGGTTCAACTTCTTTATTTTGGAAAACTCAGAGAATACTAAAATCCAGTGAACAATGTAAACTGAAATGAATTGAATCACCTTGCTTCCCAACAGAATTCCAGTTTGCACTCCAATGCAAAGGTTCAACGATTGATTTTTCGCATCATGGGCAAGTTTGCTGCAGCTCTGGTCTCGGATTTGTACAGTTTATGGGCACTCTTTCCCCTTTGAATTCTCTTTTGTAGCAATTCTTCCCTCTTGTAGGGCATCGAAAACTTACAGCAGTGGACCATATGATTGCTGGGCAATAGTGCCAACTCCTACTGCAACAGTTTGCATAATAAGAACCAAAATGGATGCAAAATTTGAATGACCAGGGCATCAAGTATGGTTGTAGCATGGCTTCTGCTAAATTCATGGCACCCAGGAGACAGAATGCACCTGAGGCAGTGTGTGTAACTGAACAACCCATCACAAACTGGGTATGCGGGTATGAGTCATCATCCAGAACTTCATTAGATTTTCTTTGAGTTTCTTATCTGACCTTTTGTCAGTTTCATCCAAGCCTTTGTTCAGAGCCATTTCAAACTTTTTGTTGTTTTTTGCTTCTAAATATTTCTTAGTCATTGGCATGATTAAAGCCGAGAAGCTGAAGATTTCAAGCAAAATAAGCATGAGAAACATAATAAACACATGCTCTTTCCTTTGAAGATATATTGCGCCAGTTCCTAACTGAATACCGATTTTAACAACAACAGTAATAATGAGTATTCCGAAAGCTAATATATTTGTGAAGATTTCATTGTCGTCCATGGTTCCAAGAGAAGGCATAGAATGATCCATTACTGTCCAGAGCAAGACACTGCTGCTAAGTTTTGCAAGCTGATCAGCCTGGCGAGGCATAGCAGTGTTCAGATCCATTGACCATTTGACTGCCACAGCTATTATGGTTAGTGAAGTGGCATTGATAGAGAAGAATTTGCTAGGAAACCAGAACTTCTGTTGGCGGAAGCCACGAATGACATCCACAGCCATAGCAATTGCACAGACCAGAGATGCTGCTGCTACATAGAGGCCAATCCATGGTATAGCCTCACTTAAGTTTGCTTCTTTCAGGTTCCTGTCAATGCCACAGCCTATCTTTCCCATCTATATGTTTCACTTCCTGTATTTCTCCAAGTGATTACTTCATCTTGTTGCTTGGCCTGGTTTTACAAGCAAATTGGTTGATTGAGTTGTTTCAGGTTTGCCCTCCTCTTATCTGCTTTGTGCTGGATATCGTCTATGGTCAAGTTAAATGCTATTTAAAACAAAGCAGGATGACTTTTGAATGTATCTCAACTGTTTAGCTTGGAGTTGTCAAGGACTGGATTGTCTTTTGATTCCTCGGAAGAGGTAAGCGTTATTGTCAATTTTGCTATTTGCAATGGTAGTCAAGTAGAGCATCGTAGACCTCCAATTTTGAATTTTTTTTTTTTTTGGGATCCAAGTGGCCCTGGAGTTGTTGTCTAGCTCAATGCTGCCGTATAATTAGGCTGTAAAGCTTCTTGGTTGATACTGGATTATCAATTTCGTTAAATGGATATTAGTTCCCATCAATTATTTAGGGGCCACGGGGATTTGATTAGTTCAACTTTAGCTTGAGTTAAAAAATCTTGGCACATTGAATTGTTTTTTGTGCAGGTCAATTTCTTACATCACCACTACTAATGTATGAAAGTCTTTGATGTAGTAGTAGTTAATATTATCACGATTTTTTTGTGAGTTGTAACAGCTCAGTTGGAAGAATTATGATAGCTAATGTAGTTGATGTTGTCAGATAAGTTCTAAATTTAGTGAATTGTATGCAAAACCTCCTAAAATTTGTGGCTATGTTGATTCCCAAAAGTTGAGTTGTCTATATGATGCTAAGACATTTTGACACAATGCAGATCAGTGGACAAAGGAAGTTTCTAGTTCAAAATAGAAATTCTCAAATTATAGGAGCCATAGTTTTAAATAGTGGTCGTAGTTGAAAAAATGATCGTTATCACGAATCGCAGCTCATCGCGATAGTAAAATAACAATCGCAGCAACCGATGTCGTGAATGCATCAACAACTATTAATAAGTTTATTCTAATTCATATATTTTTAACATTTTTACTAATTAAGTATAATCACATCCGTAATAGTTTAATATCATACAACAATAGTTAAATTTATTATAAAAAAAAATAACTAATAACACTTCTAATAGATAAATAAAAAATAATAATTTTGAACAATAAATTGAAAAATAACATAAAATTAAAAAAATAATAAGTTTTTAAAACAATAAAGACCACCTAATTTATTTTTTAAATTAAAATGACTAATTTATAATTTATTTAATTAAAGCATCATTTGTTTTGCAATCTTTGAATTTGTGCATGCAAGACGGCCAAAGTAAAATAATAAAAGATTAAATCATACATTAGTGCTTCTAGTTTTGATAAATGAATTAATTAGGTTTTAATGTTTTAAAAACTAATTATTTAATATTTGATCAGTATTATCATGTTTAATATATTATATTTTATTTTATAAAATATTTTTTCATCAATTTATTTCATGGTATAAATTTATTTATTTCATTTTTTTATTTTTTTTAAAAATATATAATAAATTAAAAATATAAAATGAACAAAATAAATAAATTATTAATTATTGAAATAGAAGGATTAACTAAATTATTGTTTCAAAATGAAAGGACTAATTCATAATTTACTCAATCAAAACTTGCAAATGCAGGTATTTGACATTAAAGCAATAAAAAGCTCACGTGGATCTCTTTGTTTTACCAAATAGCTTTTCTTCCCGGTTCCTCTCTCTTCTCAACTCTCTCCCCTCTCTGCAAATGCACAACTTCTCTCCCCTCTCTGCCTATTGTCTATCTCTCCCCAGTTATCACGCACAACTTCTCTCCCCAATTCCTCCCTGCCTTTTATACTCCTTGTCTGCCTCTCATCTATGCTCCACTCCCTCTCTGCCTCTTTATCTCTCTCTCGCTTCTCTCCTTCTCGTCGATCATCATCGCTTGAATTTCGGTAGTCGAAATGGCTGAAATTCTATCCTTTTTTTTGTAACATCGTTACATAACGACATTACGTATCGGTAACATCATTATTTATCATTATTCATGTGAAATGACATCGAGCACTCATAACACCGAATAAAGGTAATAGGGTGCCCCGTTAGCATTATATAACGACCATTACGCTATGTAACGGTCGTTTTTTAAATCTATGATAGGAGTAATGCATGCTTAATTCTAATCATTCTACATGTAAGGTGACGTAGTGTGGGAAGGGAAAAACATTAGAAACAACAATCATAGTAGAATAATGGTTAAAATTAAGATAATATTGAAGTTGGAACAAGATAATAGCATTTAAGGTTCATAAGAAGCCTCTAGAATTTGAATAGATCGATAAAATAACAATTCATGAAAAAAAAAACTACTATGAAAGCAACCTTAGCAACCTATTTATTTTAAATTAATTTAAGCCTATGTCCATGGAGGAAAAGGATTCCTAGTCTTATTCCCTAAGTAAAACTAATCGATCTATAAAGGAAATACTTTAAAAAGTCATAGCTAAGCAAATGACCCTAGATTAATTAAATAACCCTAACATCACGAGATATAATAAAATAAATCCTAGAGAAAGCTCTTGTGTCACTCTTTTATTTTGGAAGAAACTTATTCTCCGAGTTGAACCATTCTTGCCTCAATCTTGTAGATGTCTAATTAAGACTCTCTAGCCCCCGGATGTCCAATCAAACCTCTCCAGACTTCTTTTCTTTCTTCGCTTCAAGTGTATAACAATTCTAGATATGCATAAGTTCCATCTGTGTTAAATTTTGCATAAAAAACATTAGTTGGTAATTCTCTTCCATTGACTTTTGATGCGGGATGATTTGAGAGTTGTTATGGATTTGATTTTTGAAGATTGTTTAGGGTTATTTAAGGTTGTATTGAAATAAGTTTCTGCTAGAAGATGAGAAAATGGGTGGGTAGAATTCTAGGACTCACACCTAGAGGATAGAAAAATCTAAGTCTCACACTTAAAACCAAATTGTTGGAATTTTATTCATAAACTTCTCTTCATGATATTGAAGGGCTACACACGGTAGTCCAAATCCAATAAGGAATTAGATTCCTACATAAATAAATACTAAGTCTATGTAGAATAGGGAAAAAAACCTAATAGAGCTACTCGAGTCCCTAGGACTAATAAAATACTAAATAGAAATTAAAATCTAGACTTAAATAAAATTTCAGATTTTCTAGAGATTATAGAAAAATATCATTGTCTTCAAAAAAAAAAAAAAAACACAAGTTTTTCTTTCTTTGTTGTTTGCATCATTTTCTCCTAGTTGGAGAAATCTCGACCTCAATTTTTGAAGTGTTGATATGGTGAAAACCACAAAACTTGCAATAACATCCTTGCCTCGATGCGGCTCCCATGAAATGGGAACAAAAAATTCTTCTTTATTGGGGACAATAATGATGATGTGAGATTTTTATTACCAATTTTCCTATCAAAATTTGGAATAATGAATTTCTATCCTTACTTTCATTAACATTGTGCTCAACATGTTGCTTTTTTGGTTCAACTCCATCAATCGTAACACATAGCTCGTTATGCTTTGTAATAACTTCGATGAAAGAATTTTTTTTCTTATCTTTCACTCTCCATGTTATTGTCAATTTGAAATTCCTTTGTTTTTTGTTCAATCTTCCTTTTTAGAAGCAATTCTAGATTTTTAATTTGTGCTATAAGAGGTTTAGTGGTTGTTTCAACATGATACTTGCTTAGGATACCCTTTGCCGACCTATCTAATGCTCCTTGCCCTTTATCGAGTCTAGTAGTAATGGATGTTTCCATTGCATTCAACCTTTTTGTAGAATGTAGCCTTGTTTCTAAATCATGCTTGAAGGTTTCGAATTTTGAACTCAATTCAATGACAATTATCATGAAAGTAGAATGCAATACAAATCATTTAAGATCTTGAACAATCGATACAAATTGATGCGGGACGATTTGAGGGCACGTTCCGGATCCGTTTTCTATGGGTTGTTTAGGGTTGTATTGAAGTAGGTTTCTATTGAAATATGAGAAAATTTATGGATAGATTTCTAGAAGTCACACCTAGAATACGAGAAAAACCTAAGCTTCTCACCTAAGGGGAGATTAAGTCATATAATCAAACGCAAATTACCGAAATTTTATTCATAAACTTCTCTTCATAATGTTGAAAAGGTACATATTTAATTCCTAAATAAGAAAATACTCGACCTATGTACAATAGGAAAAAAAAATCCCAATAAAGCTAATTACTCTTTGAGACGAATAAAAAACTAAATAGAAAATAAAACTTAGATCGAGACAAATTTTCATATTTTTCAAAAATTAGAAAAATATCTTTGTCTACAAAACGACATAAGTTTTTCTTTTTTTCTTTTTTTCGCATCATTTTTGGAGTAATGAATTACAAACCTTAAACTTTCTTCGTTAACATGTGTTGTATCTATGTAATCTTTATTGATTCGGACAACAAAGGAAGCAAAACTTATGTCTTTTTTTGAGGAAAAGATATTTCCATAATTTCTAGAAAATTTGAAACTTTGTCTATGTCTATGTTTTATTTTCTATTTAATATTTTATTAGCCCTAAGAAGAAATTAGCTTTATTAGGTTTTTTCTTATTCGTATAGACTTGATATTTTCTTATTTAGGAATCTAAATTCGTATTGGATTTGGACTACTGGAACTCTATAAATAAGTATGTAGCCTTTCAATATTTATGAATAAAATTCTAGCTATTTGTTTTTTATTGTGTGACTCAATCTTTATTCGGTGTGACTTCTAAGAACCCTAGGTGTGAAGGTAAGATTTTTTAACCTCTAGGTGTAGGTTCTAGAAACCCTATTAATGTGACTTAAATAGTTCTACCATTCCCAATGAAAATCCACTTTAATATAACGCTGAACAATCTCCAAACTTAGATCCAGAACAAGCCCATGTCATGTAAACAATGCTATCTCGTGGTAATAATAGACTTTTAATCAAAAGGATCAATAAATTTCTCTTGTTGAGCAACACTTTCAATCTCTTTGCACTCTACTT